GCTGGGGGGGAGGGTGCCCCCAGCGGCCGAGGGGCCCGGGGAGCAGCTTACGAACGGGGCTTTCTCGCCCTGGAGCTCGCAGGCAGCAATCCGCCACCTCGACCTCCGGGGCGAGAAAGCCCCATTCGTAAGTGCAGATCCGACATAAGTCGGATCCGCGTAAGTCGGGGACTGCCTGTAATGACTCTGACACAGATGACATATGCAAATTTGGGTAAATGTGTGTTTTTCACTGTTGTCAATGTGAGGAATCAAACCCTAATTTCTGACCTGGATCTGAATATTTTTAAACATTAGTACAATGTATGGTACATCAAGCCAAATTCCGCTCTCATTTGCACCTGTGCAACCTCAATCACTTTGATTATAGATGTAAAGTTTTTGTTTGCAGTTCAATTTATTATTAATAAATGTAAAACAATTCCAAGTCATGAGGATATTGACAGAGTCTGCAAAGTGTATGCCTTTGAAGATGATGTTTTACTAACCTTTAAGATTCTCAATGACTGAGGATGGTATTTTAGTGAAGAAATTCCAAGCAGGATACTGTATCACTGAAGTTGATATATGTGGATCTAAAGGGATTGGCAGTGGAAGGCTAACATCTCTATTATAAATTGTGAGCTGAAAAGGAATCAGAATATGGATTAAAAATATGCCAAAAATCTGCAAAGCCAATATTCTTATGGCAATATTCAAAAAGGGCTGGTCATACATTAGCTTTTCACTGATAGGAATATATTTAGATCACAAGTGGAAAGGCATAGAAGTCCCTGTTTGTCTACACTACAAAATGACTGCAAGGGTGGCACATATGATGTCTCTGGAATAAAAAAGGTGATGTAGATTACCTCTAAGGTTCATTAATGGAGCTTGTTGAGGAAACATATACCACAGTCCACTGCCCAAAGGACTTGGGACCTGTTTACTGAAGAAACAAACTCTCCTGATCTATACTATCACAGCTAAGATCAGAGAAGCCCTAGGCTGGAGCTATAACAGTTTAAAAGGGTTGTGGGTAGGACATTATCTGTCAGGAGGCCTCAACTTGTTCTCCCCATTCTTGGCCCTCCAGAGTCTGGATTTTCCAACCTTCCAAGCATGCTGTCTTCTTCCTGGGGATTTGTGGAGGCTGTACTCAGAAGGCTGAACTGTTTTTTATTAGTTAGCTGTTCGTTTATGTATTTGTTATGCTAGCTGTGGAGGAGTTCTGTTTCATTTGCTGATTTGTTTTTTATCCATTAGTGTAGGGTAAAGTCAATTACAAGATATATTTATTATAAAACAAAATTATGTAAAAGCTCAAAGAGTGTGGAATGGGGAGTTGATTCCTATTTTTTTATAAACTGCAAAAATATTTGTGTAGCAAGACAAAACTCTTAACCTTTAATTTCACGAGTGCTAAATTTCTCTGGCAAATCTTTTTTTTGTTTTAAGTAAAATATTTACATCAGGTAGCTTGCAAACAAGATCACAGGTTCTTGGAGACGTTAGAGCCACAACCAGAGTAGCCTGTTGAGCGGGATTGTTCTGTTCCCTTTGGGAAAATCCAAACATGTATGCAACTCCGGGAACTAATGAATAAAAGCTGGAAAAGGGAATAAGGGATTTAATTGATTGTTGTGTGAAGAGTTTATTTAAATTCCATTCATACTGAAACACTCATAATGAAGTGAATTCTGTCTCTGGCATCTGTTAGCGAGAAAGCCGGACACATAGCAGTGCATGTTGGCATGTGGTTCTGAGCAGGGCAGGAGAGGGAGCAGTAACAGAACACTGAAAATTGGAACTGAATTTAGAAGCCCACAAGGTAGCAGGCAGTAACCAGGATGGGACTGCCAAGCAGCATTAAAGACATTCAATACTGACATTCAAAGCCCCAACCCATTACACATCTAAAAATCAGACAGTTTGTTATTAAAGCCCCAATATTGTTAACAGGATCCACTAGCTTGGCCCTTATGCTCAATTGGATTCTCACCTCATCATCAGTTCCCATTACAGTTTTGGGGCCTAAAAAAGCAATAAAATAATTGCCTCAAAACAAGTGTTGTCTCCAAAAGAATAAGAATGAGCTCTGTTATAATCAATCCCTTCTTCATTCTCCACAATAAGGGCAGGTACTGTACATGAAAAAAATACATAAAGTAACAGAATTTTCCAGGTATTTATTTCCATTGGACGGTTTCTACCTAGGTAGCAAGAGAAAATATCAGCCTATCCAAGTAATCTGATCTAGTTCAAAACTATGTTCTCTTCAAGCATCTGGTGGTAATCTATTAGCCAGGCAGCTACTATCTCACTGTCTCTAACTAACATGTACCCTTGTGTCATTTATGTATTCAAGTACCAAGAGAAGTTATTATCTGTGTGTGTATATGTTGGACAATACTGAAAAATAACCTACAGTGCAATCCCATAAGAGAAACCTATTCTGAATAGCAATGTACAGTTTTCTTATAATCACTGATACAGTCATGTATTCTAATTAGTAAGTAATGAGTCTTGTGTTTTAAATGGACCTATTGTGCTGCTCTAAGAGAGACACATGCTAGAGATTACATCAGACAAAAGAGACCTGGAGATTAAATAAATAGGAGAGATCAATATGTGTTCTGATCCTACAGAATTTTCCAGATTCAGGAGTATAGTTTGTGTAGGAACTGCAGGATTTTGCATATATTTGTTGAATGTTGAATGTTCTTTGCTGCATATACATATACATTCTCCCAGTTGGATTATGATGTAAAAAAGTAAAGAATTTAGATTTCAAAAAACAATTAATTAAATCTCACCATTTTACAGCCAGTTTGATTCTTGAAGGAATTTTAGGCCACTCTAGCTTAATCTGTGCAGCTGGGTAATCAGCAAATTGGCCACTTTCAACTTTTCCAGCAATCCTATAGTCCTGGCAATTTTGGCCCCATTTTAGATAACCCTAATAGAGAGAATATTTACTTTTTATTTTCAATTTCAAATCTAAAAACATGGTCATCTCAATATAAAACATTTGCTGTTGGTCAGATGATGTTTGAATCTTACCGCTGCTTTGTAGGAATTTACTATTGAAGCATCAGCACAGAACTTCCAACGACTTGAGTCTGTGATATTTGACACAAATACTTGTATTCTGGGTCTGGTGGAGTGTAAGTCTGTGTACAACACAAGCTGGAAACCTGCCAGCTTTCTGTCATTTCGAATAGTACGAAGAATAGCAGCCAGCATTGGTGGTTTAAAGTCTCCCAAGAATGTAGGCTAAAGTCACAGGAAAGACATTTGGAGCATTTTTTAAAAATACAGAACTACACAGAATGTCAGATACATTAATATTTGTTAAAGGAATGGTCTTTATTTTTTTAAAAAACATGTTATGTATAGTTCTCAGCAGGATCCTATACAGAAATACAGTGAAATCCTTTAAGCACATAATCCAGTTCCTTTGAAGTCATTGGGAGTTTTGCCATTGACTTCCCTGGGAACAGGTTCAAAGTAAAACAATAATGAAAAAAATCTTTTACACAAGCAATTTCAGTACCAAACGGAAATATGGACTACGAACATGATCTGACAAAGAACAGACCTTTTAGAATAACAAACTTTGGGACTGATCCTGCATTCTTATTTCTTTCAAAACTCCTAATAAAATCAAAGAGCTCATGACCAGATTCTCATCATAACAAACTTGAAGTTATTTAGTAAAATAAACTGCCTTCTTACTTTTAAAACCATAATAATTTATGTCAACAAACAGATCACTTTACCAGATTTATGCTGCATAGATAATATATTATATTTATTAAGGTCCAGATTCTGTCTGTTATGCTTACACTGTGTAGTGCCTGGCTATGCACATGGAGTAAAATTTTCAAAAGTCTTTTAGTTCCCTTAACTTTCAGGGGAACATAGGTTCCTAAATGTTTACATTATTTTTGAAAGTAAGACTTTAACTCCTAAATCACTTTGTTGCTTTTGAAAATTTTATCCAGGCCTTGTTGAGACGAATGGAAATACTTGAAGAGAAAAGCATTTTGAAATATCAGGACAGCAGAATCAGGACCTAACCAGTACAGGATGCCATCTGTGGCAGTACAAACCAGAAATTGCTATAGGCCTGATTTAGATACTTTTTTTATACATATTGACTAACACCTCACAAGTGGTCCCATTTATTTAGTGGGTCTACTCACTGTTCATCATGTATAAGCATACCTAGTACTAGAAGACTTATCTGGCATTGCCCAGGCCCTTCAAGCAGGGGGCTGGTGGTGTGTGACGTGCAGGAGTCAGGGCAGATCCTTGGGAATGTGAGGATGGCAGAGCAGGAGGCTGGGAGCGTGAGGGTTGGGGGCTGAGAAGAGGCTCAGGACAGGACCTTCTGTCTGCCCCTGGCCACCAGGGACTCTCTGTCTCCCTCTGGCCTCATGGCCACCAATGGTCTTCCTCACTCCTCCAGGGCTGTGGCCAAAGCCCATAGTGGAAGGGGTTTGGTGCAGGGGGACTACTTAACTGGTCTAGTGGCAGGAAAGATGTTGGAGCCCCAGCTCTGCTGACAACTCTCTTGGTGGTGTGGCTGCCTCCTGTGAGTTCTCTGCACTATCACTCTTCCCTGGCAGCTCGCTACTCCCAGTGGCCTAACGTCACAGAATCGTGTCCCTCCTTTTTGTGACTCTCCCTTTCCATGTCATAGAAAACAGTCCCATTCCTAGCATTTCCCATTTTCCTGGCCCAACCATACCATGGCCTTGCTTTAAGTTATGATAAGAGGAAGCTGCATACCAAATTTGTCAGTCCTAGCTCTTACCGTTTAGGAGAAGTTCTTGAACAAACTCCCAGACACACAACAGACACAGAAAGATAGACTCACAGACAGACACACAAATCATAGATTAGATTAGATTACATTAGATTAGGTTCATTTATCCCATCCTCATTGGACATGATTGTAAGATATTCAAGGACAAACCAAGGCACACTACCTCTATACTATCAAGAAAGAGTTATATATATTGTAAGGTTCTATATTATTTAATATAATAACTCACTAATTATAGCTTTCTTTACTAGTATAAGAACCTTACAATAGATGGAAATCCATGGAAATACATGTTGACAAAGTTTTCACCTGCTTTGGTTTCTTGTTGAATATACCCACCTGAGCACTTGCTTGGTAGCTGCTTTCATCACTACTCTTAGAAGAACTGGAACTGGAGGAAGAAGAGCTACTGCTGCCGCTTGGGACTTTCTTTCTTGGATACTGCAACAATTGATGAATCATCTTTAATCAAGTGACTTACCAAGACAGTTCACAGAAAGCTGTTCCACAAGTTATTTTTAACTCTTATTCTCATTGGATGAAATCCTGATCCCCCTGAAGTCAGTGAAACCAATATTTGGCCCCAAATGCACAGAGCAGAAAATGTACCTGTTTTGTGTGTACCGATGTGAACTGATACTGATAAATTTCTGGATCAGCCTGTGAAAATAAACAAGTGGAAGAAACTGCCTTGTGTTACTGCTCACAAAAAGGTGAAGTCCAAAATATGGCAAAATAAGAATTTCAGTAATGAACTAAAAACAACACTCAAAATCTGAGTGAGTCATAGAATCTCAGAAGTTAGAGACATAAAAGATCTTTATTAGGTCATCTAGTCTATCACCTGGATGGCAGAGAGCAATCCTGTACAATATATTTGTATTACTTTGCCCTGTGCTCCATATGCTTTTAGTTTCAGCTAATGTATAAAAGCAAAGTAAGAGTAAATTGTACTAGTGCCACTGGACTCTGCATCTAATTCTGCCCTCAATTATGTGAGTATCAATGAAGTTACTCCTGTGATGGGGCAGAATTGGTCCCCATATTATTAATTCATAATGCACAATGTCCTGATTTATGATAATAAAGTGAATAAAGTTACATTATTACTACTAGAAATATAAGTCACATGGATCTTAAAAAGTCTGAATAAGTTACCTGCTTTTTGGAATACTCGCTGTCACTGCTGCTGCTCCAGCTCCTAACCAGGTGCTGCTCTGTGTTTGCAGAATGGTCTTCTTCACTGCTACTACAGCTTCTGGTGCTGCTGCTGCCACCACAACTTCCTTCCCTTTGTCTACGTTGCCATATTTTGTCTTTGGTGTCTTTATTCCTGTATTTGTCGCCAACAGAAGAGGTGGAGGAGGAAGATGCTGATGAGGATGAGGATGAGCTGGACTGATATTTAGCAGTTGGATCTGCTTGAATTTCTGCAATTTTGGCTTTATCTTTCCTGGTGGCTTGCTTCTTAAGGTGCTGATGTGCACTTCTGTTGGCAGCCTGCAAGTCCAACCAAATATTACTTTAAAATAATTATATGTTAGCAAGGAAAAGTTTTAAAATTCACTTTCTATCATCTTCAGTGGAATGTTATTCAATTTAAAACTATTTGCATGTACCTGGTGATCCAGAAATAACAACTTCAGTGCTTTGGGAATTATATATCATGTGTCACAGGGAAAATATTTACACCTTCTATTCCCTTATGTTAGAAACAATCTAAGGGATTTTGTGATTCTTCCTCCAAACCATTGGGCAGAGTTAGTCCTGTCTCTTGACACAGGGTTAGCACTGTGCCCTGTAAACCTAGCCTTTCAGATGTAGGATAGGGTAGGACACAGAGGACGCGTTTTAGAAACCCAAGGTCTCCACACTTCTCCCTTGGCTCTCACCCTTCTTTATAGCAGAGTGCCCTGAAGGGGGAGGGGGGGCTAGTAAATTTCTCATTCAGTATCTCATATATTAGCACAATGCTAGTTTTTTTTGTATTAACACTGAGCAGGAAGGTTTATATCTGTAGTAAGATGAAGGCCTAAAACATAAGCCAATGCAGCACAGGCCTGGTTTGAGGCCTGAGGCCTAGCTAACAATGGACAAAACATAGCTAACATAAAGCAAAACTAAGCTGTGAGCAAGAGGCAGGCCTCAGCTCACAGAACTTGGCACAAATAGGGCTGAGAGTACTAAACACTAATTGGTAATAGGCCCAGGTGCAGAACAATAATTGGTACTAGTCATAAGTGGAAAACACATGATATCACTAGCTCATTAAAAAAGTCTGTGGTACCCACTCCTCACAGATACAGACTCAGATTCAGGAAAGAGTCTAAAATGACAGCATGATGGATAGAGATGATCTAATCAAACCACGAGGTACCGGGTGATGGGTTGTATCTAAGTAGTGTCAGAGAGTGGCAACCTGATACATCAGCAGTGAGGTGTGACTTGTTGTACCTGTATATAAGGTGGTGTCTTGGGGGACAGCTTTTGGATGACCTAGGGGGCAATTTCCCACTGATTGTGTCATTCCATTGCAGCAAGTACATATGCATAGTGGTTCAGTAGAGTCTACTGACAACTATTACTGTACTTCGCTTTACAATAAACCTGGCCCAGCACCTTCAATCTTTATCTGGTTTGTGTTCTTTGGGGGCTCTCTTGGGATCTGCTATGGAGACTAAGTGCACAAGTTGACATGGCACACATCACTGAGCACACACAGAAGCAGCCTTCTGGTTATCATCGTCAACAGAACCAGAGTCATGTGAGGACATCTCGGCAGTAAATCCCGACCAGCCCTCTATGAATAACTACAATATCCAAACAAACAACTCCTTTATTCGAAATGTATTAATGAAATACTGAATAGTCTGATTTCATTACGCTTTTAACTCTTCTTTTCTTGCTTTTTATTTTAACATTCTTAACCTACCTGTCTCTTCAGCATATACTTTGCGTGCTCTTTAGAAAATGTTTACAATTCTAACTAAATCAAACTCTGGGTTTTAAAAAAAAAATTCTGCAGACTTCTATCAAATTTTCCAGAACCATTTATGTTGGTTGGTTGATTGGTATTTTTTGTTATTGTTCAATTAACATTAATTTCAAACCAAAGTCAATTACCTTAAATATATTTTCAATTCCTAGGACTTTCTTCAGTTTCGTTTGAACCGCATCATCTAGAGCTGAATCATCATCTTCCTCTGACACTGGGGTTACCATCTGGATTATTCTGGAAGCTGCTCTGGATCCTGCCTGAAACTCTAGCTGTATTTTGGCAATAGCAGCATCTGTATGGACTGCACACCAGACACATGCATTAAGGAATATACTGCTTTAGCTGCACTAATGCAGATAAAGTGAAAAATGTGTGCATAACACTGTACCTGGTTTCAAAACTAATTTGACTTCACGTTCTCCAACCAACCAGTGTAGAAATGTATCTTTTAAGAATGCAGCATCTTGGAACTGGAGATTAAGGCAGGTTTGGCAACCCAAACTTTGTAATTTGCCACAAAAGACTCGTGTATAAGACTTTGCTCTGTGATGAAATTTCTCTTCTGAGCCCTAGGAAAATTTATCAGAAGCTGTTCTTTGCTGCATTAAACAGAAACATGGCATGTTTAATGGAGGGAAGTAAAAGTGACTCAAAAATTGGTCCCAGAGCTTCTCTTAAAGTGGATTCCCAAGCATGAAGGGCACTTAGCAAAGCAGAGCCTCGGGCTGTGTTGTCATTTGCGCTGATTCCCACCGGGCTTGGGAAGCAAAATGTAAATCTTATTGCCTGCCCTCCCAATACTGCCTGAGGCCGACACCTTCCATGTGGATCTGATGGCCCAGGGAAGCCTTTCTGTGGGGTACTGGGAAGAGAAAGAGAGCACCATAGATATGGATGATCCCTCCTACTGTGAAGAAACAGCCAGATGTGCACACTTTGGCTGTGTCCAGACTCCATGCCTCCGTCGACGGAGGCATGTAGATTAGCCAGCTCGTTACCTGTGTCGATGAAGAAAGGCTTCTTTGTCGGGGCATCGCGTCCAGACTCTCCCGATCTGCCGACAAACAGCTGATCGGCAGATCGGGGCAGCCATTTAAATTTAAATGAAGCCGCGATTATTTTAATCGCGGCTTCATTTCCCTCTTCCGAGCTGGCTAATCTACATGCCTCCGTCGACGGAGGCATGGAGTCTGGACACAGCCCTAGAGTCTACTCTGCACATACATGAGAGGAATGAGCAGACCACAGGTAAGAATTCCATCTCTTGACCCATTACATTCTACTGCGGCCATGTATATCAAGACCAGTTTCAGATCTTAGATGTTCAGAAGACTGAACACCTAACTCCCCCTAATTTCAACAGGTGTTATGGGAGCTCAGCACTTCTTTAAATCAGTTTCATTATCTAGCTACCTATCTAAATGATACAAACACAGGAGTATGAATTACCACGATGGCACGATTTCTTGAAGTCCTTTTGGGGGATTTAAAATGTTGCTCAGAGACATCCAATGCAGCTTCTTCTGGCAAAACTGATCTCCTTACTGACGTCATCTCTTCCACATTTCTTGAAATAGCATAAACTTTAGTCCTGTGGGGATAGGCATGATACACTACTGGCAAGTGATTCTATTGATAATATACTTCATTCTAACTTTTCATGGACCTGCTATTTTAAATCGAGAAGAGATAAAGCTGATGTCAGTTGGCAGAAGAAAGCAATCTGAAGAAATAACAAGTGTTTTGACTGCTCTGTTTGTTGTGGAATCTACTTACCCCTTTTCAAAAATGTCCACATCCTTGGGGCTGATGGGGCTCTGTTGCTGTTGGATTCCCATGTAACCAGCACATCTCACAGTGCTTTGTTTTAGTTGTGAATAACCATGGTAATCTATTGTCCCTCCTTGATGACCTTGACACAGATACTGCCTCTGTCATGTCCAGATTGGATAACTGCAATGCACTCCACTTGAAACTGCCCTTCACCCACACAGTGAAATGCACACTGCAACTGCTCTCCGTGTACTACTCTGGCTCCTCATCTACTTCTGGTTGAAGTCTAAGGTCTTGGTTCTAGCCTGCCAAGCCCTATGTGATTTGGAGCTAGCTCTTTTAGAGATTGTCTCTGTTTCTAAGTCCCATCGAAACTGCTGAGATGAAATGATGTGTTTTGAGGGCATTCTGGTGACATGAAGAGTTGTTGGGCACTTTCGGTCTAATCATCACCTCTGTCTCTTCTGGAACTCCTTCTCTCAGGTGGCCCTCCAACCAAAACTTAAATTTACTGCCCTACTGAGTACAGTTCAAGACACAATACTTTTCTGAACAATGGCTCTCCATTGGGCTATTTTTGGTTAATTACAGCATGCTGCTTAATGTGGACAGTTCAATTTAAAATGTTGCATATTTCTAGATATTGAAAGCATGAGATAAATGGAATGTTAGAATCATTCCGTTCTGTATGAGCCAAACAAAGGATTATGAGGAGTAAAATAATGGCAATTGTTCTATGAGTTAACTTCTGTTCAGCCATCAAAACTGCAATGGATCTGATCCAGTAGCCCTTACATAGGCAAAACCTTCAAGGGCTTCATTGCCTAGAGCAGTGTTTCTTAAACTGTGTTCTGTGGCACACTGGTGTGCCGCAAGGCAGTCGGAGGTGTGCTGCAAAGATATGGTGACCATACGTCCCTTTTTTTCTGGGACAGTCCCGGATTTAAAGATACCCAGCACTAGCACGGTGCAGCAAAAACACCCCACCTCCACCCAGCATGTAGGAGGCTCCCTTGGTGCTTTGCGTGGGCAGCCAGGGCTGCTGCCGGTGGCACTCAGTGTGCAGAGCTCCGAGCTCCCATGCAGCACGCGCCACTGTCTGGCAAACCCCTCCCACCACTGCGTGGCCCTTCCCTCCCACTGCAGGACTGCCTCTGCCATGCACCGGCAGCCCGGCTCCTCCATTCACAGGTGGCTGCCCCTGCTGCTGGAAGGGGAGGTGCACTGGTTGGAGCCGATGAGCCACTTCTCAGGGCTGCCACCAGAGTCTCAGCAGAGACCACACAGAGCCCAGCTGGAGCGCTGCAGAGTGGGGTATGTTTGGGTCCTGCCAGTGTGCTCTGTGCATGGCCCTTTCTCCCCCCCACCCCTTCCCACTCTGTTGGGGGAGTGGAAGTGCATGGACCCACTCGCTCTGCCGCACTCCGCAAGCCAAATCTGGGAGGGTGGGGTCTTTGAGTCTGGATGAGGGGTGGGGGCTCCACCCCCCATGCTCCTGCTAATGTGAGCCAAAGCTGGTGCGGGGACTGCACTAAAATTAGCACCATGGGCAGCCCAGCTCCAGGCCTGGCAAACGGTCCTGCCTTGGCAGCATCTGGGGCCAGGGCTGCCAGGACTCCTGGGGCCCAACCACAGACTCCAGCCCTGCAAACTGGAAGGCAAAAGGTGTGGGGAGGGGCTCGGAGAGAACTAGGAGGAAGAGGGTGGGAGAGGAAGGAGCTTGTTCTGAGGGGAAGGGGCCGGACAGGAGAAGAAAGGGAAAGTCACCAAGGCCGGGGACAGAGTGGAGGAGAGACAAATGCCAGGGGGCCAAGCGGAGACAAGGTGGAAAAGAGCAGGAGGAGGTAGGGGAGGTGTCAGTGGGGGTGGGAAAGTGGAGGGGACAGGGTGATGCCGGGAGAGGACAGGGGAAGGGTATTGGGGGCAAGAGGAACAAGGGGATGAGGAAGTGCTGGGAGAAGGGTTGAAAGGAGGGGTGGGCATGAGGAAGGCAAGGATGGAGCAAGTCATGTGTGAGGGCACAGAGGGGCATGAGAGGAACTGGGGTAGAGGATGGTGAGGGGATGGGCATCAGAGAGAAAGAAGGCAACGGGACAGGGGCAGTGAGGGAAGGAGGAAGCACCAGGAGGGTGATGGGGTGCAGGTGCCAGGCGATTCTAGGGGTCAAGCAGAAGGGCAGATACCTGCAAGGAAGAGACCAGCACCAGAGGAGAGAGGGTTCAGTGGGGGCCAAACTCATCCCCTATGGGTAAGAGGATGGTGGGAAAAGTTCTTAGAGGGTGTTAATTTTATTTCTGCTCAACAAAAATCCTTGGTGTTCCTCATAAAAAAATTGTTTGGTGTTCCTCGGTCTTAGAAAGTTTAAGAAACACTGGCCTAGAGTCAGGACTTTAGTTCCAGGTCATTAAGTGTTTAAAGGAACTGAAATTTACCACCAGTTGAACAGAAGAGATAAAACTAAACCAAATAAATATAGCTTCTGTACCTTGCAGAGACTAGCTGCATTTCCTGGTGGCAGGGAGTTGTTTCAAACTTTAAACTTTTATCTTTCATGTTTATCTTGGCATCAAATTTCAGTGGAATGTTGGCATGGAAATTGGCATGAAATTCAAGACCACTCTGAAAGTACTGTGTATTGAGTCCCACCATTGCTATTGTATGCATGTGTATGCTGAAAGAGAGGAGAAATACAAACATGTATAATCATATAAACTGATAAACATGTGCTTAGCAGGCATATTTTGAAACATACAATTTCCTTTATATAATAATCTGTTTGGAAAGCAGAGCTTGCTGCAAGAAGAGGCAAAATATCAATCAATCAATCGACCAATTTGTGGACGTGAGATCCATGTGACCAAATGCAGAATCATGTGATACATGATTTTAATACCTGCTGTTTTCACTCCTCATCCCACACCCCATTTCCTATTCTAATATTAGTAATCTCTACACCCTTCCAAACAGATGCTATTTAAAAAAAAAATAATGAGCTCCAAAAGTATTCCCCACCCCTCATGCAAAATTCCACTAGCCTGAGGCCCAGGATAACCACATTTAGTGCTGCACCAATAACAGCTTTTTTACATGTCAAATATCATGATTTTACATCTGATATCACCCATCCCTGCAGGGGCAGAATCAGAAACTTTATGGAAAATGTTAGAATCCCAGCTCACAATTTGGATCTAGCACACACAGAGCACTGCAAGGTCCTGAGAGAGCAGACTTTACCATCATGGCATTTTTAAGTATAGAAACACTATTTTATGTCTTGTTTAGAGATATTTATATGGTTCCCTCTAGTCTGGTACAACTGGGTTAATGATAATTAAGTCACCCAGCAGTGCATGCACAAAAAAAGCCTAATTCCAGGATATTTTTTTAAAACTCTCTGCAATATATGTGTCAAGTATAGAACATGATGGTGAAGTGTGGAATAACAGGCCTATGTAACACACACTTGACTTCACCCTCATGAATAATTCAACTATCCCAAATCCCATAAAATTATACCATATCATCAAATATAGTCTTCCTTACCTGGGGTTGATATCAGCACGAAGTTGCATATTGGCATCAAAGAACTGCAAAGGTTTAAAATTGCCAGATAAAGAGGGGGAAATATTTATACCAACTGTAAGAGATAGAAAAGAATTATAGCAATGGGAAAACAATAAATTAAGGGGTTCAAAATGGAAAGTTTTGTTAAAATACAAATAATTAGCAATGAAGAAGCACCATTTCATCTTCAGAACACTTTACAGAATTAAGAAGGGCCCAGTTTTCTGCTTATAGTGCCTACTGTAATGAATCAAGTGCTCCGCACATGTACCCAAGGGCAGCATTTATCCCCAGCTAATTAATTCACACACCATGTATGATGTAGTTTTGTATTACTACCTCCATACTAGAAACAGAGAACCTGAGACAATGAAGCTAGGTGTCTTGCCAAGACTACAGAAGAATTTCATGTTAGAGCTGGGATTAGAACTCTGAAATTCCTACAAGTTAAGTTGGAACCATTAAATGATGCTTTTCAAAGCTCACCATTGGCTGCAGCATGTATCACACCAGTGCTATATAAACTGAGTTCCAGGGGCAGGCCCACACAGGTAGGGACAATGTGCCGAACTTCTCCTGCCAATATTGCCAGTGTCCATTGTCCTGCAATGCCTCTTTGGATTTGATTGATCACGTTTTTCACTAACATGTGACCATCTGATGATTCAGTCAGAGCCTACAAAGGGACAAAGATCCAGAAGATTAAGTGGATGGAGGAGAGGGGTAAGGAAGCTATGAAGCCCTTCAGACAAAACAGACAAATAGGGGCAATCAATACCTTCACTGTCTGTTGAATGAACTCCTTGTTGATGTCAGCAAAGGCGAGCTCATGACCAAATGCTTTTACATAGGCTGATATAAGTGGATTTTCAGGAGGCAATTCCTTCCATCCCAGAAGCTAGAGAAAAAAGGTTGCTTAACATACAGGACTGTGTTAACAAATATTGGGTCAAATTGTGAGGCTGTTACCTAGGTTTATTCAGGCAAAACTACTATTGACCTCAGTGTAAATTTGCCCATGTAGCACCTGGGTAAGGACCATGGTAAACTGCAGGTTACATACAAAAACAATGCTAATAAAAATCCTACACAGCAATCTTTAAAAAAAATTGATATATGGTATTTTAACATGCACTTTCAATTTTGTATTAATTATTATGATCAACTACAGTGGCCCCAATGAAGAACCAGAGCACCTTTATGCTAGGCACTGACACATCTACAGTGAAAACATGCGTGAATATCCCCCAAACCTTCAAGTGTATGGTTAGATACATCATTTGGGTCTTACTCCTGCATTTCTTATTCACTAACATCTCTGTGGGAGTTTTGGCCAGAGGCATTCCAGTCATATAATCAAACAGATGTGAAGAATGAATACACATACCGTTTTCTCAAGCACCTTCAGTTTTTTGTATGTGTCATATTCAGCAAATAGGACATTCTGTTTCCTAACAAGGTCTGATAGACCTTGTGACTGGAGAGCCACCTATGCAAAATAAATAAAATCAGGCAGACCAAAATATGACAGTTAAAATAGAGAGTGGAGGAGTATCAACAATTAGTCTGGACTAGGTGAAAGCTATATTAACCCATTAATGATGGAGAGAAAAAATATGGAGGGACAGATTTAACCATTGTAATTAGCAGTCACGACTCCATTAAAGTCAGTAAAATTGCATCTTTATATCTAATAACGGATTTGGCTCAAAGAGTAGTGGAAAATCCCTACTATTTAATCTTTACACACATATGTGTGTAAAGGCACTTATGGTTCAAGTTTATAGGCAGATATTCAATGAGCCTTATGAGATTTCCCTTTCTTTTGTTATATTTATATCCATACTGAATGCAGTCATAGCCTTTCTCATCTGAGTCTATTGGCCAAGAAGGCCAAGGACAATTGCAATTAGACTCCAGTCTCAGGCCTTCCCTCTGTACCACCCACCACTTAGGCATATGAGCAAATGCCACAGTCCATCCAGAAGGCTTCCATGAGAAATATTTATATCAGTTTGATTGTTGGTCTAAATATAACACATACCTCAACAAAATCAGTTGCGGTATTTGCATAGTAGCCTCTCAGTTTCATAATTATTGCAGATGGCACCATACTTCTTGGACTGTTCATGAGATAGATTCTTCCAATTGCACCAACCCTATAATCAGCTACAGCAGAAATCAAAATATAGCAAGAGGTTTGGTTTTCATTGTGGTGCCAACCCTATAATCAGCTACAGCAGAAATCAAAATACAGCAAGAGGTTTGGTTTTCATTGTGCCATTGATTTCTTGGGCACATAAGGCATAGTCACCTTCTGTGTGCAATCATGTAATGAGTCTGTCAGCCCTGATTTCTATACGTTGCCCAATCTTTATATGCAAAGTGTCTCTAGGGGGAGGCTTTCGGACCATGTCCATTCTGACAGGTGAGATAGAAGGCCTTAGGAATATTGGATGTACATAAAAAACTCAGTTCATGGCTGAAGTCTAGATATCTGTAGCACTTTCCATAGAAACTGAGGCATCTATAGTTTAGGAAGTCTACATGTTTTTCCTACTCCACTATTGGACAAATCCCACTTTCAATGGCAGGATTTCAGTTGAAAAAAATAGGATTTCATGGCTTTTCTGGGGGAATTTTTTAAGGTGTAATATTAGCCAAAGCAGTTCCAATGCATATCTGGTACTCACGATAATAACCACCAATGTGAATAACCTTGCTGTAACGATAGTTCATCCTGTCAAGTCTTGGGCTCAGTAGTTTAATGGCAATGTTGCAAGCAGCAGATCTAAGTAAAATGGATAATAACTCTGCATAGTAACTAAATTCACTTTGCATTTATACTTGGAAAATGGTAATGGAAATCACTATTTACAGTGGTAAATTTTACTTCTCTTTTTACTTACACATTATAGAGTTGTGGGATCCTGTTTATTGCCAAAGCCTTCATATGGGAATATGTGAAACTGGCAACCTGCAAACTGCTCTCCTTTAGCAAAGCATTGGCCATAGATGTTATGAGAGAAAGAGCAGGCTTAGTTTCAAAGATGACAACACAAGTCATCATTCGGACAGTTGGATCAAGTGACTGGTCCACAAAGATCTGGAGAAGAATTTCCTGTACCTGGAGGGGGAAAACACAGTTTCAGATTCTGATAACTTCTTAGGGGTGTATTCTCCCTTTAAAAGAATACAATTTGCATTGGTGAGTTACCCACACTTATTATGGGGAGAATAAAACTGAAAGTATACCCTTCTTTTGCAATGGGCACTGATGGGCAACAATAAGTACCGTCGAAGCACAATGAACAGAAGAGGGAGATTGTCTTGAATAACATGCCCAGTCTTTCAGCCATAAGGATGACCTAATTCCGACGAATACCTAGAAACCATCTACTTCAAGACAGACCCAAGAAAACCAACAATAGAACACCACTTGTCATCACCTACAACCCCCAACTTAAACCTGTCCAACACATTATCAATAAACTACAGCCTATATTGGAACAGGATACCATACTCAAAGAGGCTCTGGGAGACAGACCCATAGTCTCCTATAGACAACCACCTAACCTCAAGATGATTCTTACCAACCACCACAGGACATACCACACTAATACCAACCCTGGTACCTTCCCTTGCAACAAACCCCGTTGCCAGCTTTGTCCACATATTCATTCTGCTGATACCATTATTGGACCTAACCAAGTGAGTTATAAGATCAAGAACACATATTCCTGCGCATCCAGAAATATAATCTATGCTATCATGTGCCGAAAGTGTCCGTCTGCTATGTACATTGGACAAACATCTCAGACACTTCGCCAAAGGATTAATGCCCACAAAACAGATATCAGACAAGATCACAAAGAGAAAACAGTTTCTTGCCACTTTAACCAGAAAGGACACTCTCTAAATGACTTAGCCACCTGCATTCTGCTACAAAGACCTTTTACATCTGCACTTGAAAGGGAATCCTCTGAACTGTCATTCATGTTAAAATTCGACACTTACCACCAGGGACTTAACAAGTCTTTGAACTTTCTCACCCATTATCAAGACAGTTTCCCCAATTATCACCTGTAATACCATTAACTCACAAACATCCCACTCTCCCTACCTCTAATATCATCAATTCACAGACACTTACCTTCCTTCCTCCCCCTTCCCACCCCCCCGCCTCCTCCTTCTGTTCTGCAATGTGATTTGTCCTTTTCATATTTGTTCATTTTTTTTAATTGTATCCTTTGGTATATATGGTTGTGACTACTTTCTTCCACTATTTGATCTGAGGAAGTGGGTCTGGCCCACGAAAGCTCATCATCTAATAAACCATCTTGTTAGTCTTTAAAGTGCTACATTGTCCTGCATTCTAATTCCCACTGGCATCAGAGGGGAGTATGTTGTGTGCAATTAGAGAAGAATCAAAGCAATTTGTATTCACCATGGCTTACACAACTTGCTATCAGTGGAACTTCCGTACAAAGATTGTAGTCACTCAATACTACAGTAATGAGCACTGTATAAAGGTACAGACATACAAACAATGGATTAACTCTCTCTTTCTCTTTCTCTCTCTCTCTCTCCCCTATATTATTCCCTCTAACCATATTATTTAAGTTAATAAAAAATCACAACATATAGCGTAGTAAGCAGTATTCTTTTTCATCTGGAGAATAATTCTGATAAACAATCCTAAAAAACAAGATAGTGCCTATGCTCATTACTTTTTTATAGTTTTACTGTTTGGAATGCCACCTATTGAAAATTCCACTGATGTCAGTGTGAGCTTTGAGTGGACAGCAACTGAATGATCAAGAACCTCTGTAAAACTGATTATATAATTTTATGTGGTTTTTTAATATATCCTTCCTTGCATATATCAACTTTCACCTTATGCACCGATCTATTATCTATGCCCAGCCTTATATATGTGAAGAGCTAAGGGCTGCTCCGCAGCTGTATAAATTGCTATAGATACACCACAAGGGCTAAGTGGGCCCATGCTACTTTACACCAGCTGGGGATCCATCCCATATGCATTTCCTAGCAGTGCTAAAAACAAAACAATCAACAAGCATGGAAAATGGAGCCAATTTTGAACATCATGCTAAAATTATTTAACAAAATTGTACTCATTCTGAATTAAAATAGGACCACTTCTTGTCTTAATTTTAAAGTCTCAGGCACAGCATGGTATATTGCAGCACTGTTTCTACTGCCATGAACTTTGATCACAATTCATAAATTATTTTGAGCTAAAACTCACTTAAACTGTAGTTAATGGCTAAACTCTTCTTGATTTCAATGAGAGCAAGGTCAAAGGTAGAGCAGGGGTGGTAAATACCTGTCCGAAAGACGAATCCAGTCCAAATGGGTTAGCTCCTGGTGGGCCCCCACTGCTATATTTATGTGCACAGCTGCAGGTATCGGCAATTGCAGCTCCCATTGGACATGGATCACTGTTCCTTGCCAATGGAGCTGTGGGAATTTGCAATGCCTCCCACTGCACCCAATTGCTGGAAATGGCAATCTGCAGCCAACAGGAGCTGCAAGCATGGTACCTGCAGCTGTGCAGGTAAATATAGCAGCAGCAGCCTGCCAGGAGCTAACCCTGGTGAACCTCCATCATGTATGCCCACTTCCAGGGTAGAGATTTTAATTGTGTACACAGTCTTACAGGTTGAGGAAGACACCTTATACAATGTGAGCCAGATTCTCAGTTTGGGCAAATCAGTGCAGTTCCACTGAAGTTAATGTAGCTATGTTGATTTAAACTAGCTGAGAATCTGGGTGGGCCCTGGTGAGTACCTAATATTGCATACTGATTTCACAAACACTGTGCCACTGACTTGATCTGCACTACATCCCGTATTCTTTATGTCCAATGAGTTTGTTTAAACTATAGTTTTACTTACTTTTGCAGGATCTTTCCTGGCTATTTTTCTCAAGGCCAAAACAGCATCAATATAAATTGTAACTGGAAAAGCCTTTGCGGCAGGTGAAAATATCGGCAAGAACTTCAGGATGCGCTTGATACAGGCTGGTTCTCCTGCATTGCCCATTGCTTTTAGAGCCAAAGCCATGTCATCTTCACTGTTCTTGCTGATTGCCTCAGCTGCAAGGTCATGGAGGGGCTGCAGACAAAACAAGAATGTGTAAATTAGATGTGTACATTGCTATCCTTGCCCTCTGTGAATTAGACCTTGCACTTCAAGACCTTGCCCTATTCTTTGAGCTGAACCTTCCTCATTTCACTCTCAGGTTTCCATTACAATATAATGCAGAAAAGAGCAAGTAGCACTCATTGATTTAGACTAGTGAAACTTTGCTGGCGATAACTTTGCCAGAATTTGCAGAGAGGGTGTCGCTCTCAGTGTTTCTATTGCAGCCCCCAGAACTCCACCGAACTGGACCAAATTCAGGGCTGACAACACCTGTGGCCTCTCCATTAAATTCAACTTGGCACTGCTAAATGTGTTCCCCTGTCTTCGCATAACTTCATCTGAATGTTTTCTGCTTTCCAGATTCATAGGCTAAGATTTACCCACATAACTAGGACAGATAACTTTGGTACAGGCATTGCTTTGTTTAATCCTTTTGTGCTGGTTTTCAAGGTTTGAACACATTCTGTTGTCAAGAGACTATCTTGATATTCTGGTACTTATGCACCTCCATAGTCAGAAGACAATGATCAGAAAAAAACTGAGATGGTGTATAATCATGAAGTTTCTTTTTAAGATAGTTATTGTAGGAGCCATGATGTGTAATATCCCTGGAGCTTCCAAACATACCTTTATCATGGTATTGAGGTGTGATAGGACCAATGTAAAATATGTATATGTAGGAACATGTACCATAATACTCTTACAATAATCCTACAAGTTGGCATGCATTGCAAATTCAATTTCAACTTGTTAACAGAATCCATTTTTCTTAGGGACTATCACGACTTGAATTCAAATTCTGAATGTTTCAGGACATGTTTTCCAAAGAACTTCAATTCATCTTCTAATTTTGTTTGCAGGTTTTGCACTTGATCACGGGTGTAAATAACTGAAGTTAAACCTCTGTTGACCTAATTTAAACACAACTAGGTGGGAACAAAATTAGAAGCAGTTTCTGAAATTTCTTCACATCTTAAAAATCTGAAATGAATCCCCCTCACCTGAAGAATTTCTTTAGGACAAGATGGTGCCACAGCACAATATCTGTTTATCATGGAACCATATGCCAGGTAGGCAAGCTTGCGTAGCATAGGAGCTCTTTGAATTTGGATGCTGGTCATTAGATCCTGCAGAAGTAAGACACATCTTAATATTGGTATCCAGCAGAGATCATAGTTAGCTGAATGTTCACATTACTATCTAGGATTTTCCTTGGTTTTTCAGATATACAACCAGGATATGTCACTGCTATGATATTATTGATGGTAACTATTTTTTTCTCACCTACTAATGATCAGAGTAGGTCTAAATTGTCCAAGTTTTCTGTTTTTGGTAGAAAAAAATTATGCTCATTTTCATAGCCTGGGGGGTGAGGGGGGTTTAAAAATACCCAAGGTGTCTAAAAATTTCAGTTTATTTTTCAGAAAAATTTCACTGAAAAATTGCTTTAAAATGGCAACACTTTTCTGAACTTCACAGTGAACTATTTTAAAGAGGAAGTGTGTCACATCCACAACATATAATTGTGCAAATTCACTAATAAAAATAGACTCTGATCTGGTAGTAGAAGGAGGACCCAACAGATACAACACAATACCCCAATATCCTGGATAGCACAATTTGCTTCAATAACGAAACCCTATAGACAACTATATACAAGAAACCCATGGATTACCACACCTGCCTTCATAGATCCAGTACCCACCCCAAACACACTAAGAAATCTGTTATTTAAGCCAGGGACTTAGATACCACAGAATATGCTCCAAGGAGAAAGTCCAGAATGTACAATTTAACATATTTAAAACCTCCTTTGCCACACAATGACATTCTCCCAAAGAAGTAGTTCATGTCAAGGAACAAGCCACCCAAATACCCCCGGAAAAAACACAATACAGAAAAACCTCCCACTTTGACTACACACACCTAGTTGCTTCCTACAATATGCTGGGTATCAATCAACAAATTATAATTCAGACTTGACGGACACCACATCCAGAAATATATCTTTCCCAAGCCCTCACTTCTGGCCCTCAAACAATTGCCCAGTCTCTCCAAACTCATCATGGGAAGCAAGCTCCACACATTCCAGATCCTACCAACTCAAAGCAGCAACAGACCCAGCCAGAACAACAGATGCAAAACTTGTGTATCTCCTCTGCTACCATGATCAACAGCAGCCCCCCACAACACACCTTTAAAGATCAATGGATCTTACACATGCCTGTCACTAACTGCCCCAAGAACAACTAAATGGGTAAACCAGAAAATCACTCTGAGTGAGCTCACGCCCCAAAATGATAAAAGATAAACATGCCATATCAGGCCTGGACAAGCACTTTGCATAAAATGACAACTCCATATCTGAGCCCTCAGTTCTTGTTCACAAAGGAAATCTGTGCAGCACCTTCAAAAGGTGAGCCTCAGAGTTTAAATTTGTAACTTTGCTACATACTAAGAATCATGCCTACCTTCATGCCTCCAGCTATGTCTACCTTCATACCTCCAGCTTCCATCCTAGACACACCACACAATCCATTGTCTACAGCCAAGCACTAAGGTACAACCGCATCTGCTCCAACCCCTCAGACAGAGACCAACATCTACAAGATCTTCACCAAGCATTCTTGAAACTACGATACCCGCACAAGGAAGTGAGGAAACAGATTAACAGAGCCAGACATGTACCCAGAAGCCTCCTACTACAAGACAAGCCCAAGAAAGAAACCAACAGAACACCACTGGCCATCACCTACAGTCTTCAACTCAAACCTCTCCAACGCATCATCAGTGATCTACAACCCATCCTGGACAATGATCCCTCACTTTCACAGGCCTTGGGAGGCAGGCCAGTCCTTGCCCACAGACAACCCGCCAACCTGAAGCAAATTCTCACCAGCAACTATACACCACACCACAGTAACTCTAACTTAGGAATCAATCCATGCAACAAACCTCGGTGCCAACTCTGCCCACATATCTACACCAGTGACACTATCACAGGACCTAACCAGATCAGCCACACCATCACTGGTTCATTCTCCTGCACATCTACCAATATAATATACACCATCATGTGTCAGCAATGCCCCTCTGCTATATACATCGGCCAAACTGGACAGTCCCTATGTAAAAGAATAAATGGATACAAATCAGATCTTAGGAATGGCAATATACAAAAAGCATAGTCAAAGAACCGGGGATTTAAATAATCCCCGCTTCATTAAAATAAAAATGGCCGCCACTCTATGCCGATGATCAGCTGATCCGGCACAGCGCCGCAGTCTAGACACGGTGCGGTCGACAAAGGAAGCCTTTGTTGATTGCTCCAGTATACCTTGTGAAACTAGGATTATTTAAATCTCCGCTTCTTTGACTATGCCGAGTAAACTATTTTACATGGCTCCATCGACGGAGCCATGTAGTCTAGACACAGCCTTGGTGTTCACACCTCCACATCAGCTGCTAGAAGTGGGCCTCACCCTCCTTGACCGAATTAACCTCGTTATCTCTAGCCTTATTCTGACCTGCATATTTATACCTACCTCTGGAAATTTCCACTACACGCATCTGACGAAGTGGGTCTTTGCCCACGTAAGCTTATGCTCCAATACATCTGTTAGTCTATAAGGTGCCACAGGACTCCTTGTCGCTTTTGCAGATCCACACTAACATGGCTACCCCTCTGATACTAAAAATCATGGTTGTAATAAAGACACTGGATTTATGGCTTTTTGCAACAATCTGTAACCCACTACCCTCCCACTTTTTTTATCCTATGGCTACAGTGATGTTAACAGGTCACTTCAACCTGAGTAGTCTCTAAGGATGTACCTGCTTATGGTAAACAATCTGTTCTTGTGTTTAGTATGACAATAAGGGCAGTCCTACATTGCAGCATTACTTTGGTATAACTATATCTGTCAGGGCTGTGAAAAATCCAGTAGTTATACCAACCTACTTGCCAGCATAGACAGTGCTATGTCAGTGGAGGGGAGGAGGGGCTCTCCTCGCTGACATCACTCCCCGCTCTCATGGCGAATTAGCTAAGCTGATGGACAAGCTCTCCCCCATCACTGTAGAGCATCTGCGTTAAAGTGCTACAGCACTGTAGCTGCACACATACAGCTGTGCCTATGCAGCATTTTAAGTGTAGACCCCCTGCACAAATTGAAAAAGAGCTCTGTGTGGTTCAGAAGCGTGTGTCTTTCACCAACAGAAGATAGTCCAGTAAATGATATTACCTCAACACCCACCTCCCATTGTTTCTCTGGTAGAATTACAAGACAACAGAATGAGGAATGACTCTATCTCCTGTACTCACTGCTACAGCTTGTAAAGAATCGTCATCAGCTTTGGATAAATGGAAGGCGAGTGCGATAGTCATAGCTGATTCCATATAGCTGAAGTCCCCATTATGAATTTTCTGCTTAAGGAACATGAAAGTCTCAGTAGTTCCCGCTGCACAGATTGCACTCAATAACCAGCGCCTGTAAACAAGAGGAGGCATCTATTATTTTCATTTTCAGACTGTCTCCATTCAGAAATGTTGATTAAGAGTGATGCAGTCAATTACCTATATTGAGGTTTATCAGCAACTTGTTTCCAAAGAGACTTGAGATTTTCAGGGGTTGCTACACGACAAAGCTGGATAAGTTCTAAGAATTTGGTTGGAGCTTCTCTATTGTATACTTGTTCATTATGCTGAATTAATTTTTGCAGTATTTCTACTATCTGTTACAAAAAGAAAAGGCAGAAGGGATTACAAGATTCTTGTCTTAAATGTCTGAAATAATTTGCTGATCTTCCATTAGCTTTATAAAAAATGAATGAGTATAAAATATTAAGCATCTTATACCTGTGATTCAGGATTTTTCATCTTTATTAAATGAATTGGCATCTGGAGTAGTTCTCTTGAAAAATGGTAGCGAAGACTTCCATAGTTTTGCAACTCAATTTCTGATGTGCTTACTTGATTGCTTTTAATATCATTCAAAGTAAGTTCTTGTCTGCAAAGAAAAGAGTGAAATGCATCCATAACGTTTTATTTTGGGCGTTCCATTTGCCTAAGCTAGATCCAGTGGATATTAGCACTGAATGAAAGATACCCAATAATAATTTCACAATATCTGCAAAGGGATCTGAAAATTCTCAAATGTATTCTTTATTCAAAATCATATTTTAAATTCCTTGAAGATATCATTTTACATTTGCAGTTTGTGAACAAACGATCTGTAAGAACATTAACATGTTGGCTATTTACATAAGCCATCTGGGTGTCGGGAGACTTAACTGAAGTTTGTAAGCATGTGGAGATCTCTGGCTAAAAAGAGCATGTGTAAAATGTAAGTGTGTATGAAAATTGCAACAACATGAACATTTTTACAGTAAAAAGTTCAAATTTAAATCTCACAGCTTCTCTATAATTTTAACAAGACAAGCTGAGGAGAAGCTAATACTAACAGCATCTGACACATTTCTCAGATGTTTCACTTTACTTACCCATGGAGGTACCCTATGCAAAAGTGAAATGCCACAAATAGCAATTTGGGCTTCATTAATTGCAGAGAAAAAAATTGGAGATAGGCGGAGACACATAGGGCCAGATCACTCCTCTGAATGACAAAAACTAACAAAAGAACAGTCCAGTTGCAGCAAAACAAACTCTTGGTGAATGTATTTTAACTGCATTCTCCCAGTTCTGATTATTTACTGCTTATTTACAGTATAATGTCTGAGGCTTACTTTGCTTCTATGACAGCAACACCAGCAGGTTCACTAAAAGGAGAGATCTGATAGACCTGCTGAGACACAGCTTCTGTGATCAAGGCACCAGCATCTGTGTATTTCATTTTGTAGGTGAATGCAGCTGTTCCTTTTATGATCTTTTCTTTCTAAAAGGGAAAAGAAGTTCACATAGTAAATTGAAATAGACCATTGTTTAACTCTGAATTTGTGCTGAACAGGCTATTTGCCAGGATAAGTAGGGATGGTGTCCCTAGCCTCTGTTGTCAGAGCTGGGAACAGGTGACAGGGAAGGGATCACTTGATGATTACCTTGTTCTGTTAATTTCTTCTGGGGCACCTGGAATTGGCCATTGTCAGAAGACTGAATACTGAATACTAGGCTGGCTGGACCTTTGGTCTGACCCAGTATAATTGTTCTTATGAGCCAAATTCACCATTGAAATGATTATACTCCATCTCTATTTAAATCAGCTCAGTGATAGATGTATATGCCTGCAGTTAATTTGGCACTATATGTTTACATCTTACATACCAGTGGGCAGGTAGCACAAGGGCGGATGTAAGCCATTCCAATGTTCTTCGCCACTTTATCCTGGCAGTTGTTGAGGTCTTTGGTTTTGGATACCGTGACTTGATTTGTTTTCCTGTCTTCCTGAATAAGGTAACTTGTATGGCAGACACCTTCAATCCCGGCCTATAGAGATTGACAGAGTTCAATTGCATTTCTCATTTACGACGGACTTTCATTCCAAGACAAGGAACAGGTGAGCAAGTAACCTAACTGGAAACTGTGGAATTATAATACAAAATGATTGTTTGTTCTTATGAGAAAGTAAAATGAGAAAGGAAATACAAACCTCTTGCAGATTATATGCATTCTGTGACTTTTTGACAGTTATCTGCAACATGTTCAGAATCCCTCTCACTAAGTTAACACATGTCACAGGCGTATCTTTTGGGGCATAAATGTTACCAAACTGCCCTCTGTTGTATTCAAACTTAAAGAATTGGGTGAAACATGATGCAATTGTCTGGATGAGCTTGGAAGATCGAATGACTGGATCTGTGGGCCAGATTCCATTGTACTCCTCCAGCTGTGGAGATCGGATCTGAGAACAAAATTCAGAAAACATGCCTGTCAGAATGTTGGTCAATTAAAACTGTTTCCCCAAGAGAAGAAGCTGAGCTACATCACAAATCCACTTGTCCAAACATCGCATAGAATGATTTCCTTTCTTTTCCTGCAAGTCCAGCTGGAAAGAAGCTGTCAAGACACAATTTCCACAAAGGATTTCTGCCCATCCAAAGTTCTGACAGAGAATAAAACCATGCAACCTTCATTAGTCCCACAAACCAGGTAGGGCCATTTGAATGTTCAGGTGGAGAGTGAAAACTCTGATTACCCAGACTATCTGCTTCCCTATCTCTTCCCTGCAGTAAGCTTGCACACAAAGCATTCTGGGAAATGCTGCCAAACGCTGCTTCTGTGCACCTCCATATACCAATGCTTAGAATTACAGATGCTGGCCACAGAATTACATGAAAACTCATGAACATCATTGGCTGGGAGAATGAGAAGACCACTGTTTTTAATAGGGGAGCAGGAAAGATCTCTGGTTCCTACCAACACAGGTCTTATGCCTTTCCCTCATGAGATGGTGAACCAGTTATACTGCTAGCAGCCAATAAAGGGTGTTTAATTTTACAAGTACATGCTGGTAATCTAGAGATGTGGAGGGGTAGGGGGACATCTATCTATCATTCTAATTTTATTCTAAGTCTTGTTTAGTGACTGCTAAGTGTGGCTTGCCACTTTGTCATTTTAACCTACATAAGTATTCCATAATTGAGGCCATGTCGTCACTTACCAGGAGATCAACACTGTGGCGATCAATATCCATGGGGTTGATCTAGCAGATCTAGTAAGGATGCACTAAATCGACCACTGATTGTGCTCCCGTTGACTCTAGTACTCTACCAGGTCATGAGGAGTAGGGAAGTTGACAGGAGAGTTTCTCCTGTCAACTCCCCACAGTGGGGATGCCGTGATAAGTCAAACTAAGGTATGTCGACTCCAGCTACGCCAGTCACATAGCTGGAGTTGCATACTTTAGTTAGACATTTTCCCCTAGTATAGACCTGGCCTCAAAATCCTTGCATGTTGCCCTCAGTAATGTAAAGACAGGGTTACATAATCAATAGGCTTTTAGGGTCAACTTTTGGTGTCTTTTACACCAGTGAAACTTATTGGCTACGTCTAGACTGGCATGATTTTCCACAAATGCTTTAAACGGAAAAGTTTTTCCGTTAAAAGCATTTGCAGAGAAGATCATCTAGATTGGCACGGATGCTTTTCTGGAAAAGCACTTTTTGCGGAAAAGCGTCCGGGCCAATCTAGATGCGGTTTTGCGCAAGAAAGCCCCGATTGCCATTTTCGCCATCGGGGCTTTTTTGTACAAAACAATACCACGTTGTCTACACTGGCCCTCTTGTGCAAAAGCATTTGTGCAAGAGGGCTTTTTCCCAAACGGGAGCAGCATAGCATTTCCGCAAGAATACTGACAAGCTTACATGAGATCATCAGTGTTCTTGCAGAAATTCAAGCGGCCAGTGTAGACAGCTGGCAAGATTTTCCGCAAAAGCACTTGCTTTTGCGGAAAAACGTGCCAGTCTAGATGCAGCTATTGAGTTCAACGGGGTGACTTTAGTATAACTGACCAGAATTTAGCAAAGGGAATAAATAGTTCTAACAGATGTAATATTTCCATTCAGATATTTCATAGTGTTATTAGTATTCAATAGATACGATGAGGTACGTAGTAAGCAATATTGGTGTGGCACAAATCCATTTGTTAGAGTGACTATAACAAAGAAAAATAGCTTCTGGACTATATACTGGCAGTGTGAATTAAATATATATGTGACATTCCCCCACATTTGTCTCATTTCTATTTGCCTTTTCTCTTGCCCTGTTTTAAATTGTTGAATATATTTTTTCTAAGGAATAGGAATACTCCTAGAGCTGGACTGTTATTGTTGTAATTCACCAGTTCTGATGAAAAAAAAAAAAGATAAATAACATTGAAAAACCTGACAGTGGAAACAGGATATAAAATCAGGCATGACATTTTATCTACACCATTCAGCTTTCCTCAAGCTTTGGAAAATATACCACAAAATTATTTGCTTATTTATTATTTATTCTTTAATTTGTATTAGCTTTCTTTTTAAAACTTGATGTTTGTCTGATAAAGCATTTGCAAGGACAATCGTTTTAATAAATGCCTCTAGTATCTTTGAAGCATAAAGGGTAATTATGTGACTACAGCCTTCAAGCAAATTCTGTAACTTCATTGTGAAATAGCGCCTATAGATCAGGTGCCAGCTCCTACTTCTCTTGAAATCAACAGGTATTTTGCCATTGGCCTCTATGGTAGCAGGAGCTATTCCTGATCTGTAATTTTCCATAAGCAATCTGAGTTCTTCAAAGCTTTTTGGGGGGCTTTGGCTGTGGAGTGCTGAGTGTTCTGAACTCCTCAGCTTCCAGCAAAGCCAACAGGAGATGGGGTTATTCAGCAACTTGCAGGATAGGTATAAGGCCAATTCTTAGGTCTGGCTGAGCTGTGCTCAGTACATAACTCTGCTGGGGGCAAAGAAGTCTTTGCACCACTTTCATCACCACATCCTGGAGTTTCCCAGAGACCATACAGCTACTATCACAACTAAGAGCAGCCTTAGTGCTGCTCTAATTTGGAAAGGTCTGCAATAGTTCTGCATTGCAGCAGCCAAAGACATGCCTCCCCTCCCCATCTACCTGCTTAACTGAGCACCTACACTTGGACCTGGGAGCAGGGCATAGAGCTGAATACACTGACTCAGCACGAACTGGGGATTCGCCCATGTATGTGGTTATATCAGAGCCAAAATAGGGCCCTAGGATTCTAATGTGGCTGTTTTCCGGCTGCCAGTCCATTACACATGCTTGTGGTATTACTATAACTTCCATTACTATTTAATAATGTATCTTCCTTTGCTTGCATGCTTTCCTTCATATACATTGGAGCTGGGAACATACGGCCCAGGGACCGGATCCATCCCCTGGCTTCCCTGGATCCACCCCCCAAAGCTCCTACACACTCTCTCCCACCTAAACCCCACATTGCAAGCACATTTCCCAGCAACCCCCTTCCAAGCACTGAACCCCTCATTTTGACCCCACCCAAGAGCTTAGGAGTGCCCACAAAATCCCCTCTAGTATGTGAGGAGAATGTGGGGAGTTTCTTTCTGCTTTTCAGCCAGGGGTCACATCAGTGACTTTTTTGTTTGTTTCTCACTTTTGTGCAGCCCCCGACTGATTTTTCTGTGGGTCAGCAACCCCTCACCTGATAAGGTTCTCCACCCCTGATCTACATTGTCATTTACCTTCAGCATGTGATAGTTGTTTGACAATCCACTGATCTCTACTTTGCATGTCAGCTTCAGCCCAGTTCTTGCCAAACCTCTGTCTTGCAGACCATGCAGAATGAGGCCTTCATAGCTGTACAAGTAGGTCTTTCTGTCCCTAAAACTAGGTTCTAATAAAAAAAAAGTAATTGAAGTATCTACTTGTGCTAACATTTTTGTGACATTATAGTTCATCATTATTCATTACAACAAAAAGTCACATGCCCAAATCTACCACCAGAAAAGTAGGAGAAGTCAGTAGGAGATGTACCAGTCTATCCAATGGCAGAGTTATTAACTAAGAATGATCAGTAGACTTACCAATGTCATATTTCTGACTTCCTGTGGGGAAAAAAATCAAATGGATGTGTGAGACTCTGAAAACAACTATTTTGACTTCACATTTAATATACTGGCTGATCCATAAAACTCCAGTAAAGCTTGTGACTAGGATTTTAAAGAGTGTCCAAGGGAAGTCTCACGCTATATCACATGAAAGTCAACAAGATTTGGGTGCTTAATTCCCTCTAGGCCCTTCTGACCATCCCAGCCAAGTATTATTGGAAAAAGGAACTTACCCACAAACGTGAAAACCAGTGCCAGAATGAGTCTCTTCATCGTGAAGATGAAAGACAACCTCAGGAAAACATGCAGCTTTTATAGAAGAAGAATTATTAACTGGTGGTCACTGCTGGGGTGAACTTTTGTTGCGTTATCAACTTTTTATCAAGTTACTCAAACAATTTTTTTTCTGATGCTGTTGACTTTTTTTATTCTGAACTGAAAGTATCATTGGCATATTCTCACGTTGATCGTCCCACCCTACACATTTATACCTTTTGAAAATAACTTTCAAAACAGGGCTGCTTTTTTAGGCTTTTTAAAAGGATCGTTTTAAAATAAACTATTAATTCAGAAGGAAAATTATTGATGATCCTTATTTTCTGGATGTTTCTGGTGCTTTAATGTTTGTGATAACTTTGTCCTGGTTATTCTGACCTGACACAAGGCACGAGATCTTATCTAACTGATAATGGCTCAGCAGAGTTGTGTAAAAACACCAGACAAGTTGCGTGTCACAAGGTTGTCATTACCTTAGGAACCACACACAAAAAAGTTTTATTTTAAGTACTTTTTGGGCATATACTAAAAGAGCAGAGCAATATTAAACTTACCTAATTGTTACAAAAATTATGACCAGAAAAAGAGTAATGAACTCTTTTGTCTCTATTTGCTATGAAAAAGAGGTGTTAATAACTTAGTGTATGTCTCTCCTGAGCTGTTAACCTGGGCTTCAGATTTAAATCCAACCCCCCCATTGTCCTAACACAAAATCTTTCTGGCTTGGGTTAATAAACCCTCAAGACCCAGGTCCAGGACAGTCACAAAAAATATAGGGCCCCAGAATGGCTTATCAACCCTGCCCCACAGAAATAATGTGTGGCTTATTCTAACTTCTGTAAACCTCATTTCAAGAGGAATAATGCCTATTCCAAAATAGTGATAGAAATGTAGCCGTGTTAGTCTGGTGTAGCTGAAACAAAATACAGTGCTACATAGTCCTGTATTTTATTCTGAAATAGTTATTTCAGAATAGGGCGCATGTAGACCAGGTGGCTGGATGAATTCCCACAGGTGCCCAGCTGGCCACTGGGAAATCCCACAGGTGCCCAGCTGGCCACTCTGTCCATACTCATCACAACTCTGTTGTGTCCTTCCCTTGTAGCCCTTAAAGCTGCAGCCTCAGGGGAAAGGGCTTGTGGCACACAGCAGGTCCTAACAGCCCTGAGCCACCCAGCAGCTTCCACTACCTCGCAGAGGGCAAAATGAGTGACGCCGTTGCTCCCACCAAGTCCTCCACTGCTCCCAGGACCCTGACAGATCACGCAAGAGACACAGGCCTTCTTGGTGCTTCTGGCCCTCATTGAGGTCTGGGGTGAGGAAGAAAACCTCCAGGATCCAAGGGCCTGGGCACAAAGAGCCACATCCGCACCCAGTAGCAGCTGTGGATGCATGTCAAGGAGCTCTGCCAGGCCTATGCCAAGGCCAGTGAGCACAGCTCCTGCTCTAGGGCTGAACCTCACACCTGCCCCTACTTCTCTGATCTGCACGGCATCCTAGTGGGCGGGCCAGTCACTTCCCCACCCCAGTAGTGGATTCAGAGCTGGAGACGCCCATCATTGCCCTCCTGGGGGATAGAGATGCAATGGAGGAGGAAGCGGAATAGGGGGAAGAGGAGGAGCAGGAGAAGACCAGCATCAGCATCATGCTGACTCCAGAGCCAGTACCTCACACCCTGGATGTCTCCCAGGCATCATCCAAGAGCAGGACATCAGGCGAGTGCCAATACTGTAGAGGTGGTGGGGGGCTGGGGCATGCTCCTCGCTCAGCCTTCTTGGCCTGTGGTTCATGCAGCAGCCTGTGCACATGGATGCACATGGAGCGCCAGTCCAGGGCACTCAGCTCCAGGAGGCTGCACCAGAGGATCCTTGTGCTATTGCTCACAGGATCTGGAGAGTCTGACACCGGTGTGGGACACCCTCCCACCACAAGCTACTACTAGAAGGTGGAGGGGGCATGGACACATTCAGGAGTGCCGTTCACAGCACATGGGAATGCCTGCGCACTCAGGGCAGCACCCGCTCCCGTGGACAGCATGGCGAGGCGCAGGAGAGTCTGCCGCTCACACACACCGCCCCCCCAACAGCCTGCCCCCCTCCTCCAGCAGGCAGGGGTACATTGCCTGACCCGGCATGTGCATGGCACAGTCAGAAGCCCAGCCACCCCATGCCCTCCCCTCGCAGCAATGGGCACGCTTGTACCCAGGACATGGGAGTAGCGAGGCTCCCCCCTTAGACATTTGTGCCCCTGTAGGAGAGGGCCCTCTGTCCAGGCCTCAGGTGGCCTTGCTCCAAGCACATCAGCTCCATCTGAGCCGAGAACTGTTGGTCTCAGCTCACAGATGAGGGCAAGGCTTCAGGCACAGTGTCACCAGGGAAGAATGACCATCTCTCTGTTCTCCACAGCTGGACCAGTTGTGAGAGGGACGTGGTCAACACTACCCGAAGCAGCCTCTTGACCCTGAGTGATCTGCTGGCACAGGAGAACCCAGGAGGAATTCCAGCGGGAGCACATCTCTGCTCTGCAAGCCCTTCAGGACACCGTGGACCGGAGACCGGAGAAGGACATCCAACTGTGACAAGAGACCTGGCAGGAGATGCTGGATCAGGGCCGCACCAGGGCTGTGTCTAGACTGGCAAGATTTTCCGCAAAAGCAACTGCTTTTGCGGAAAAACTTGCCAGCTGCCTACACTGGCCGTTTGAATTTCTGCAAGAACACTGACGATCTCATGTAAGAAATCAGTGCTTCTTGTGGAAATACTATGCTGCTCCCATTCAGGCAAAAGTCCATTTGCGCAAAAGGGCCAGTGTAGACAGCTCAGATTTGTTTTGCGCAAAAAAACCCCGATTGTGAAAATGGCAATCGAGGCTTTTTTGTGCAAAAGTGCATCTAGATTGGCACGGCCGCTTTTCCGCAAAAAGTGCTTTTGCAGAAAAGCATCCGTGCCAATCTAGACGCTCTTTTCCGCAAATGCTTTTAATGGAAAACTTTTCTGTTAAAAGCATTTGCGGAAAATCATGCCAGTCTAGAAGTAGCCCATATGTGTGGCTGTACAAGCATCCATTGCTGGCAAGCTCCTGCCACTGCTGCGGCCCCAGCTCCTTCCTATCACCTTAGCCACCCCTCTCCATGGCTGCCAAGGTCCCTGCACCAAAGGCAGTGGAACCATCAGCGACAGATGCCATCCCCATCCCAGAGCCTCTCCTCCCACTTCCAGCTCCTTTCTCCCACTCCAAGATTCTCATCCTCCCTCTTCCCCCTCTCCTCTCTCACGTTTTTTCCCCAGTCTACCTCTATTTATAAAAACCAAAGAGTTTATCTTTTCCCAAACAAAAAGTGTGTTTTATTGTCTCTGCAGGGGATGGAGAGAGATGGGGTGGGAGCAGAAGGGAGGGGTGTGGGAGGAAAGGCAGAGAAGAGCAATGCTCAGGCCCCTTGTGGGGAGGCCCAGGGAAGTGTGTCACTGGGGTCCTTGGGTATGTCTACACTACCCTCCTAGTTCGAACTAGCGGGGTAATGTAGGCATACCGCACTTGCAAATGAAGCCCGGGATTTGAATTTCCCGGGCTTCATTTGCATAAACTGGGTGCCGCCATTTTTAAATCCCTGCTCGTTCGAACCCTGTGCCGCACGGCTACACACGGCACGAACTAGGTAGTTCGGACTAGACTTCCTAGTCCGAACTACTATTACTCCTCGTGGAATGAGGAGTAACGGTAGTTCGGACTAGGAAACCTAGGTGATTGTGACCCACTTCCGGAGAGGGGGGTGGCAGGTTTCATCTGGTTGTCTTATTGCCTGAGGGCAGGGCCGAGCCACTCACACAGCTCCAGAAAGGTCTCCATCTGCATGAAGCAATTCTGGAGCCACTGCTGGTCATCCCTCCACTTCATGATACGCCACCAGTCTGAACTGGTGTCTAGACACCAGAAGCAGTGGAGAATGGTGAGCTCCAGCTGCATGAGCTACACCTGCAGAGAGATGATGAGGTTCTCCACAAGGAGCTGGGGGTTATGTTTCTGCAGGGCTTGGAAGGAATCCTGCAGAAACTGCTGCAGGAGCTGCAGCACAACAGATAAGAGCCATCCGGTGCTTGGAGGCAACTCCAGCTCCATGTCTACAGAGCTGAAGTGTCCACAAGGGCAACCACAGCAGGCAAAGGAATGGGTTTGTTCTCCCTCTATTTGGTAGGCAAAAGAGAAGAGCATGAAACTGCTCTACGGGGGGGTCCCTTTAAGCAGGAGCCTCAGATAGCCTCAGGCAGCAGCCGCATAAAGTAACTACTGACCTGATGCACTGCCTGAAGTGCTTCCGGGTGGCCTTAACTGAAATTCAGCATCCAATCAGTGTGGACATTCTATTTCAAAATAGCTAAGCGCTATTCCGATGGACGTTTTCTATGTAGACGCACTATTTCGAAATAAGCTATTTTGGGATATTTCCTCTGAAATAGCTTATTCCGAAATAAGCATGCTGTGTAGACAAACCCTAAGTGAAGTATGTGGGCAGTGGGGGAGAGGAGAGAAGCAGCTTTAACTCAATAGGAAAATTGCTGGATCATGCACAATCTGGAGCATTCTGATGAGTGAATTATTCATATTTGAATGTCAGATTTTAATCACCCTGCCAGAATTATTACATCAGTGGAACTACTGATGTGAGAAGAGGAGCAGGAGATGGCCCATGAGCAAGAGGTCTGTAATTTTCACATTTCAAGTATCTCTTTGTTTTGGTTTCAGACAAAATGTTTAGATTTAATTTATTATTCTTAGCAAATCCACAATGCAATCTATTTAAAATGTAGAGGTAATTCATTGAATTTTACATAAACTAAGTTGCCTAGCTTATTCAAATTAGGTAGTTTGTTTTACTAAATTAATTTTTTTTGTCTTTGTCACTGGTGTAATTTCCAATGTAATTGATTGGAGGGAATTATTTTTAGCTCCTCAGATTTTTCTCTTTTTTATAAGGTCTTACAAAATATAGATTTTCTCCTAGATCAGGAAGAGCAGGGTTTTTT